CATTCGACGGATCGGCACTGTGATCTTAGCTATGAATTAGTTTTCAAAACATTGGATCCTACCAATCGCATAGACAAATGCCCGAGTCAGATACCTGGAATGGATACCTAGGTCCGTGTGGCATGTGCCTAATTATATCCCTGGATATGATACCTGTGAGTCACACCCCGTGTGTGATACCTGGATTTGATACCTGAGAGTCACATTACTGAGTATGGAAGCCGTGTGTCCCAAATCCGACTTATATACCCATGGGAAGCCTGTGTTTTATACAACTGACTTAGATACCCGGGCCCCGTAGCTGAGTTATATACTCCGCTTTGATACCCGTATGTCCCAAAGATGAGTTTAAATAACCGGCTTTGATACCTATCTGTCACTTAAAAGAGTTGCATACTCGGTTTTGATGCCCTTGTGTCCCATAACCGACTCAGATACCCAGGTGATTTGATACCTGTGGTTTACATATGGGAGTTTGATACCCGAGTTTGGTGCTCGTGTGCCCTATTGCACTTGTACATTTTGTAATAGTGTTAATATTGAATATGAATTTCACTTTATGTTTGAGTGCCAAATATATCATGATCTTCGACAAAAATGTTTTATAGGTATGCCAGTGTACATCAATAGGCATTATTTCTTTAATAGACTCCTTGGTGATAATTTTCAGCTTGCTACCAATTGTGCAAATTATGTAAAAGATGCGCTTGCATTACGTAAATCATATATGTTATACAAACTTACGATTAAAATACTATTATCATGTTTTTGTACGTGGGCCTAAGGCCTTTTCACGAAATAAACTGATTGATTGATTGATTGATTGATTGATTGATTGATTGATTGATTGACCCCGCTTTGATACCGTACCCCTTAGATGAGTTAAAAACCCGGCGTTGATACCCGTCCGTCATATACCAGACTTTGATACACAGCTTAGATACCTTTGTGTCACATAATCGACTAAGATACCCAGGTGATTGATACCTGTGTTTTACACAACTGAGTTAAATACCCGGGCTTGATACCCGTATGTCACATAACAGAGTTAGATACCCGGCTTAGATACCATTGTGTCACATAACCGACTAAGATACCCAGGTGATTTGATACCTGTGTTTTACACAACTGAGTTAAATACCGGGCATAACAGAGTTGATACCCTTAGATACCATGTCACATAACAGAATTGAGATACCCGGTTTTACACAACTAGATACCATTGATGTCACATAACAGAATTAGATACCCGGCTTAGATACCATTGTGTCAAGATACCCAGGTGATTTGATACCTGTGTTTTACACAACTGAGTTAAATACCCGGCTTGATACCCGTATGTCACATAACAGAATTAGATACCCGGCTTAGATACCATTGTGTCACTAAGATACCCAGGTGATTTGATACATGTGTTTTACACAACTGAGTTAGATACCCGGGTTTGATACCCGTGGGTCCTGAAAACTGAAGAATTGTGACCTTACGCTTCCCTAAATACTCTATGTCCACCACTTCCTTCAATCAATACCCATGTAACCCACATTCCAATGATGTAATGTCCCAAATAAATGTTTAACGCACACTGCAACGCTACCTACACAAACATCGCGTGCATGTAGTGAGCGTGCACGCTATAACTAGCTCAGATGCTGAACATTCGATAACAATAGGGCAAGTTACAGATAGTTAGAACACGACCACTTAAGGAGACGGGTTAGTTGTTGTGGATTATTTACATAATTGATCACAGTAGTGACATGCACACCAGTGATTGTAGAAGTACCGTTATCACTGATATCTCCACAGGAAACACAAACCAGATAACAAATCTGAACCGTTATAAAATGTAAAATGCTAAACGTTATAACCTGTCAGATTCATCGTGATCGGAATCGGGGCAATCTCCAGGTTCCATTAGGCATGGTTGTGAGTGAGTGAGTTTGGTTTTACGCCGCTTTAGGCTGGATTTACACTACGTCCGCATTTTTGACGCATGCGTTACCGAGTGTGTTTTTTCCAATACACTAGGTGCGATCATCTGCGATATAAGACGGATGAATATCAGATGGAGGAAAAATCCTAGCAGTTTCTGTGCATGAGGAAGAGAACAGAACCGGAGATGGTGGGTACATCCCTTAAACCAACACAGATTACTTGAAGGAGCCTAAAATCGTCTTATATGGGAATTATTAGGGAATTAAATATATATACTTTTTATAGAATTTGAGCAGTACTGACTTCCCTGGGGAACATAGTTCTGAGGGTTCTGTTGACGTGAACCAAATTCAGCCTCATGAAATATTTGGGCAATTATATTTTGTATAAGACTTTTAGAAGCATCACGAGGTAGCTTGTTCTGAGAATGAAATTTATCAAAGGTTTGTCATATTATTATATATGTTATACACAGACAGGCGCAGAAACACATAAATAATATCTCATAAAAAACACAGCCTGTCTGCAATTGGAATCGCGTATTTTTATCGAAAGATGAGGAAATAACCTTACCTGATTGTCAACGTGTTGGGGAAATACCTTATTGGAATGACGTCATCAGGGAATTCCTCATGCAAGTTCATTTGCGCTGCGTCAAAAAATAGGAGCCCTACCTATCTAAATCGCTTCGGATCGCAACGCATGCAAAATTCGCACCTAGTGTACTGTCTACATGGCAAATGTACTGCTTGCGTTTTTTCGGACGCAACGCATGACGCAACGCAGAGAAAATCGGACGTAGTGTAAATCCAGCCTTAGCAATATTCCAGCAATATCACGGCGGGGGACACCAGAAATGGACTTCACACATTGTACCCATGTGGGGAATCGAACCCATATCTACAGCGTGATGAGTGAGTGAGTATGGTTTTACGCCGCTTTAAGCAATATTCCAGCAAAATCACGGCGGGGGACACCAGAAATTGACTTCACACATTGTACCCATGTGGGGAATCGAACCCGGGTCTCTATGACGTGATGAGCTTTAACCTCTAGGCTAACCCGTCGCCAGGCAAGATGAAAGTGATAGATACAGTTGACATTCAATATCGCTATGTCGTGTGCCCCACAAGTATGTTGTGATGGGAAAATCAGAACCCGTTAGAGTGCTGCTTGCATAACAGCATATATTTGACTTCACATCAGGTCTCTGTCTCATTGAGTAACCTGGGTGATCAATATTACATGAATGGCACAGCCATGTGTGAAACTGTCAACATTTTCAGACTATGCAATGAGGTAAAACAAGTTATCTGACAAGTAGAGCAAAGTTCTCTTACATCATGAATTTCGTATTTTCTCAATGGTTTCTCGCTTCATTCCAAAGTGGTTCGGGAATTCAGTATTTATTCACTTTAGTGAAATATTGATTACATATTTCCCGATAAATACATTATTTATCATAAATGATGCTATATTTGTTTGATGTAGCCAACGGTAATATGGTTACCATGGAATACCCCCAGAGTGTACAAGGTTTCGGTGTAGCCGATCAGTATCTGGGTCGGATACTACAGATATCATATATAACCATCGAAAACAACAAAACGTTCACAATGTGATAGCGCAGCTAGTCAAAGGGTTGAACACTGAAGATGTTATAACATACCATGGACTACATTGTATTGTAATGCTGTCGTGAAGCCAAAATTAGGAACAGGGTTGAATATGGAATACATTGTGTTATGTTGTAATGTAACCTACCGAAAGTAGTAACAGGGTTGAATACTAGATGATATTACATACCGTGGAATATATTGTGTTGTAATGTTGTAATGTAACCAACCACAATTGGTAACAGGGTTGAATACTGCAGATTTATTACATACCATGGGATACATTGTGTTGTAATGTTGTAATGTAACCTACCAAAAGTAGTAACAGGATTGAATACTAGATGATATTACTTACCGTGGAATACGTTGTGTTGTAATGTTGTAATGTAACCAACCACAATTGGTAACAGGGTTGAATACTAGATGATATTACATACCATGGAATACATTGTGTTGTAATGTTGTAATGTAACCAACAAAAAGTAGTAACAGGGTTGAATACTAGATGATATTACATACCATGGAATACATTGTGTTGTAATGTTGTAATGTAACCAACCAAAAGTAGTAACAGGGTTGAATACTAGATGATATTACATAGTATGGTAACCAACCAAAAGTAGTAACAGGGTTGAATACTACAGATGATATAACATACCATGAGATGCATTGTGTTGTAATGTAACAGAAGTCGTAAACACAATGTATACTATGTTATTACGTTGCAGTCATCTAAAAGGGTGTTGTATACATATGTATCATGAAACACCATTAAAAAGTACAACCTGTTAGAAAATACATACCATCAGTTGATTGAGAGCATATACATGTACTAGTATTCGATATAGATGACTTTTGGAATTGAGGGTCGTCTCCATCGATAAGATAACAACAGTTAGAATGAGAACGTGGGCCCGTCATACCTGTACACTCGATACAGAGGGCTATCTTAAAAATCAGTTTGTGAACAGTGACTCGAGTCAGAACAAAAAGTTCGACATATTGGAACATTCGAGACAACCGTATTAAAGGTATGTCTGCATTTTTTGTCCCCGTCCCGAGCAATACCCACCAGAGCGTACAATTCCACAGCAGCTGAATGAGAATCTCCCGTGAGTAGAACATAACACATAAAAAATTATCGGGAAATAAATGAAATATATATTAGCCATTACTAATGGCTGACGTGTCGAAGAATATGTAGCATCGTGAAATTCATGCGGTAATAGAAACCAAATGTTGACATAATCCCCGACAATTTCACTTTTGCGTCCACACGAATATCATCGTTGTGTTGAGATTGAATATGTCAGGTTTTGTTTGAGAGATATGTAAACATAACCGCCTCAAACTCAAACTATGCATTCAGGTAAAAAGTAACACCTGAAAAGCAGACTAATTAGATATAAGTGTTTTTAGACAGAAATATAAGCTTGTTTGACTTACCCGTCGTTCGTATGGAGAGTTGAAATATATTGACTGATGTTCGCTGTCGGTAAGCCTGTGTGGAGCTCTACCGATAGCCGCGCAGCGTACACCCACTCAACCTCGATCAATACTCTCGCCAGCGCGTGTACAACCATCGTGAATGGTAAATATTGTACCAGGGTGCATTGACACGATAGGTGAAACCCTTTATTATCAAGTTTACAAAAGTCTGCATGTATGCTCAGGGAATTTCTGTAGTTGGCGAAACAAATGGGTTGTACTTCATTATGTGTTTGTCGTGGGAGCCAAGAAGTCTGTAGGGAGTCGTTCGAGTCACGTGACCACGAGGTGTCTTATTTTATATCCCAGCAAACAAGTGCTACTTGACATGAAGGTTTTTTTAAGCGTTGCAAGGGCTAAATCTATGTTGCAACCAAAGTGCTTGGTGATATAAGAATCTGAGTCACGTGACAGTATAACAGGTATATACAGAGTGTCAGGTTTAATCTAATTTATTAGGAACAACGACATGTCGCAAATGGTTTGTGAAAATATTAAGTTATAAGCGGTGAACCACCATCAGACGTTCTCGGGATGTATGAGACTCATAACGTAGTGTAAATTATTGAATATACTATTATCTAGCATAATAAACTGACAGATATACTTCTTGTTGAAAGTTAATATTTGGGTTGAGTGAAAGGGGGTTCGACGTCACGTTGAGGATTAGTGTATGTTGTGACATGCATTCACATGAGTGTGCGTGCGTGTGTGTGTGTGTGTGTGTGTGTGTACGCGAGCGTACGTGCGTTCGTGAGTGTTTGTATGTATGCATGCATGCGTTCGTGAGTGTACGTGTGTCTCTGTGTGTATGTGTGCGTGCGTGTGCATGTGAATATGAGTGATGGCCCTGGAGGGAGATGTCCGAGTAGAGATGGTTTCGATCAACGATGGTCCTGGATAGAGATGGTCCAGGTAGAGATGATCCGTATCAGCGATGGTCCTGGAGAGAGATATGGTCCAGGTAGAGATGGTCTATATCAACAATGGTCCAAGAGAGAGATGTCCGAGTAGAGATGGTTTCGATCAACGATGGTCCTGGAGAGAGATGGTCCAGGTAGAGATGATCCGTATCAGCGATGGTCCTGGCGAGAGATATGGTCCAGGTAGAGATGGTCTATATCAACAATGGTCCAAGAGAGAGATGTCCGAGTAGAGATGGTCCGTCTCAGCGATGGTCCTGGAGAGAGATGGTCCAGGTAGAGATGATCCGTATCAGCGATGGTCCTGGAGAGAGATATGGTCCAGGTAGAGATGGTCTATATCAACAATGGTCCAAGAGAGAGATGTCCGAGTAGAGATGGTCCGTCTCAGCGATGGTCCTGGAGAGAGATGGTCCAGGTAGAGATGGTCTATATCAACAATGGTCCAAGAGAGAGATGTCCGAGTAGAGATGGTCCGTCTCAGCGATGGTCCTGGAGAGAGATGGTCCAGGTAGAGATGGTCTATATCAACAATGGTCCAAGAGAGAGATGTCCGAGTAGAGATGGTCCGTAACAGCGATGGTCCTGGAGAGAGATGGTATGGTAGAAGGTTATCCGGGCGGGAGATGGTCAAAGTAGGCTACGAGATCCGGGTGAAAGATCAACCTCGAGGATCACCTTAAGTGTGGGTGACTCATGGAGCAGTCTACCCGATGCGTCTTGATAATGATGTAATTCCCTGTTTTAACTTCCACCATATGTTCCCGTGCCTTTTACGAGGAACATTGACCTGTCTTTGCGTGTATTTGTGACCAGTGTCACGATATGTATACCAAACAGTCGGTATCATCACTCTCTGAAAGTTATTAGTAAACGCATACTCGTGATCATATAATCGGCATTTCTCAAGCTTTAAGAAGGAATTTCCTTATACTATGTTGAAGGCTTTGTCGCTTTCTTTGTTAAAAAAACATGCTTTTCCTTGTTATTTTCAAGCATGGGAAACACAAGAGCGACGGGCAAATGAAAGTATTCACCTATGTGTGATGTTTCTTGCAGTCTTTTCTCGTGATCATGGAATAGGTTTTGCCACTTTCATTCACTTGCACGTTAATATGGTATGCCCGGAATTAACAAAATCTATAGTCCAAAGTATGGATTTACTCAGTCGTAGAGTTTGTTAAATAGCGTTATGATAATGGGAGAAGCTAATATTCTCACAACATTTTCTCCTCTTCAATGATTTCAGTTTCAATACATGCATTTAGTTCATCAGACGTATTGTCGCATGCCATATTTGTTCACGGTAATGCTAACAATAGTAAAAATCAATTTAAAGATTACTCTGTCACGAATACGACTTTCAGATTCATCCGCTTACGATCATACTGATATTTGTGTACAACGTACATATTTTCACACACACAGACACATACACACAAAAAACAGAAAGACGCAAAGACACTTCAGTTTATCATTGTTAATCTATCGATTTTTTTTCTATTTCTTGATCAGTTAATTGCAGAAAATCTATTTTTTTAATAGAAAAAAAGATACAATGGGCATGCATTTGTTTACGGTGAAAAACCCTGTTTGCCCGGAAAACGCACCTTTCAGACAGCTTTTCATGGTTAGGAGTGTTTACAAGCATATTTCCGGGTTTCTGTCAAAAAGAAATTATGGGGATTGTCAACTTGGGTGCACCGCTGTGTTGTTGATGTCAAGAATGGTGAAGAGTGAGTGAGTATGGTTTTACGCCGCTTTTAGCAATATTCCAGCAATATCACGGCGGGTAACACCAGGAATGGGCTGCACACATTGTACCCATGTGGGGAATCGAACCCGGATCTTCAGTGTGACGAGCAGACGCTTTAACCATTAGGCTACCCCACCGCCCCGAATGATGAATAAGATGGTGTCATGGTTCTTGACATCAATACACATTCCTAAAAACCTATGTCATACGTGACCAACCAATATTTAGAAATTGTTACACAAATATATATTTCAAAATAAACAATACATTTTGAATATGATGCCTATTACTCTTATATAATATGTATTCCCTTTAACACTATACATGCAGCTTGTCAGATTGACATAATGGTAATGTATACATAGGAAAGACATCTGTCGTTTTCAGTGACGTAAAATTATTAGGTCGCGTGACTATGCAAGCCGCAGGACCCCTGGTGATCTGGGTTAGAATTGGTCTTCAGCAACCCATGCTTGTCGTACGATGCGACTAAGGTGATCGGGTGGTCAGGGTCACTGAGTTGATTGCCACAGGTCATCGTGCCCCAATCTGGAAGGTTGCTTATGGTGTCAAACACTGGATTGTTTGTTCCAGACTCGAAAATTCCAGAGCGCGGTCTTGTTGCTGGAATATATCTGATTGCGGCATTAAACATCAATGAAACAAAACAAACTGCAGAGGTCAACTCGACCCTCGCGCACGAGGAGGACAAAGGTCAGCAATATGGACTGCTAAGGGTTTGAGACTCTCTTGCGGCTAAACCTTCGCTCGTCACGCCGAAGACAAGGGCCTCCTTTCACAAAGCACTAAGGTGTAAGTCACAAAGGTAACCATAGTGCAGTGTTAAAGTATGGGAGTTAAGGTTAACCCTAGTAAAGGCTGCTACGTGAAAGGAGCCACAGGTATGTGTACAGTGTACAGTGCGTGAAGCCCATTTCTGGTGTCCCCTGCCGTGATCTTGCGGCTTAACCCTTCTGAATAGTGATGAAAATTAGAAATTTCAGTATTACAGAATATCACAGTGTATTTTCTGGTCGTAGTTTGTCTGGCTCAGATTTGATACTATTCAGTGGTTGATATTTATGTAATATTTCTCACTCTGGCGTAAAACAACATCCACTCATTGGTATACATTTGGCATTGATGACAGTTTCGCATTCCTGTCAGCTCTGAATATATCAGATAACTGTGGAATTTCAGAAGGAACACTGTCGCCATGTCGCTCTTTCAAACTTGTGAAAGTGGAATATATAATATGGACTATATATTTAGAATAATATATGTCCGGAAGAAAAGTGACAAATGTCTAAAATAGCGACATCTCCACATTTTGACCAATCGTCTCGCTTTCGCATTGTACCGCTTTTAATATATGTTTGTCTTTAATTCAAAGGCGACAACGCGACAATGTCCCTTCAACGCTTCCATACGTAACCTATGACACAACACACGTATATCGTTCAGTACACGACATCTCGTTATCATGTTTTTCTATGTTACATTCGGCAAGCAATGCATTGAATACATTCTATAGTTAGTCGTGTTATTATCTTCTAATAACATGTTTACACGGTCGGCTTACTTGCCTTCTTTTCAAAGCCGATGATCCGTTGAAAATACGATGTTTCTTTTTTCTTCGTTAAGTGCAAGACTTAAAGTGTCAAACTTTATTTGAAAATACATATTAATCCAACTGAATGTTTGACATGCTTTGGCATCTGTGACATTTCTGTAAGGGTCATTCAGTCTTGTATATGTTGTGATATTTTATATTTATGTGTTATATGTGTCAGGTTTATTCAACAACTGCTGCTGTTGCTGTGGAGTTTGTTCTGAGAGTGGAATGTCCGCAAATCAAACTAGGCCGCCTCGTACCAAGGTGGTACAAGATGGTTCATTTCGTTACCCTGCCTGGAGCTCAGCATAAAGGGTCTCTCTCTCTCTCTCCCTCTCTCTCTTTCTCTCTCCCCCTCTGTATCTCTCTCCCTCTCTACTTCTCTCCTCTCTCTCTCTCTCTCTCCGTCTTTCTCTATTTATCTCTTCCCTCTCTATCCTCCCCCTCTCTCTCTATCTCCCTCCCTCTCTCTATTTCTCTCTCCCTCTATCTCTCTCTCCCTCTATCTCTCTCCCTCTCTATCTCTCTCCCTCTCTATCTCACTCCCTCTCTCCTCCATCCCTCCCTCTCTCTCCCTCTCTCGTATCTCTCTCTCTCTCCCTCTCTCTCTCTCCTCCCTCTCTATCTCTCTCCTCTCTATCTCTCCTCCCTCTCTCTCTCTCCCTCTCTCTCTCCCTCTCTATCTCTCTCTCTCTCTCTCTCTCTCTCTCTCTCTATCTCTCACTCCTCTCCCTCTCTCTCCCTC